GCCCCATGGGCACCTCGACCTCCTCAGCCCCCAGCATCCCTGCCAGGGGACCCCGCTGTCCCAGCGTACCCTGCCCCCTCCCCAGCCCCTCCCAGGGGACCCCCACCCCCCGCTCACCTGGGATGACCTCGTCCCCTGCCCGGAGCTGGAGGTCACAGCCCAGGCCGCTGGTGTGGAGTCGCTCCATGGCTCTTAGCGTTTCCCACTGCTCCTCCAGGGGCTTGGGACACCCCTCCTGGGAGTCACTCTCCAGCTGCGGGGCACAGGCGGCCACTACCCTGGGGGCCCCCAGGGCCTGGGCAGCCTCCTCTACCTCCTTCTCCCGGCCGTGGGGCACAGTTCCCCCATAGGCGAAGGCCAGCACGGCCCGCCAGCCCCATAGCGTGGCCCCAGGTGGCAGGGGGACATGGGGCGGGGGGCCCTGGCGCAGCTCTCTGGTCCTGCCCTCCAGGAAACGGAGGAAGAAGGAGCTGATGGAGGCCAGGACCACGGCATGGGCCACATCGCCCTCCGGGCCCACGGCCACGTCCACCAGCTGTCCTGCGGTGCGGAGATGGTCAGCCGCGGCCAGGAAGTGTCCGGCGTGGGCCCCGTCCCGCAGGCTCCACTGGGCTGGAGCTGGCCCCTCTGCAACCCACATCTTGCCTGTGGGGACACACGGAGTGGGGGGTCAGGGGGCTGTCTCCATAGCCAGAGCCTCTGGCCCACGGCAGGAGCCCCGGCTGGGAACACGGGGTCCCGCTACTGCCGCTGCCCCACAGTGAAAGCCACTGGATCCATCGCCAAAGCCTCTGCCCCAGAGCCGAGGCCACCAGGATCCGCTGCTGCCCCACAGCTGAATTTAATGCCCCTGGGCAAAACTGCAGCCCAGTAGGTGAAACCAAGGGGCCACGTTGCTGCCCCACAGCTGAGGCTGATGTCCCTCATCCACCTCATTGCTGAACCCTCAGGATGTAGCTGCTGACCCACAGCCAACGCTGCTGCCCCAGCTGAAAGCCACAGCCCCATAGCTCCATCCACCGTCCCCCATCAAACCCTCCGCCCTGTGGCAGAACCCGCCAAGCCCTTCCCCAACCATTGCCCCACAGTCGAAACTACTGGTGCTCCAACAGTGGCAAAGCCGCTGGTCCCTGGAACAGCTCTGCGGCGAAGCCGCCCATCCCACCTGTTTGGTGTGCGGCAGCGACGGCTGTGCGCTGCCTGTCGCGTGGTGCGCTGCCTGTTGCGTGTTGCAATGCATGGCACTGCGAGTCGCGCGTGACGTCGCGTGTTGTGCGCCCTCTTGCACTGCTTACTGTCGGGGCGTGCCGATCCTCGTGCGGCACGCTGTGTCACACCGCGGTGCACTGCATGCTGTCGCCCCCCCGCCCCGTCACGAGTGGCATCTCACATTGCTCACTGTGTTTGCCCGGTGTCGCGTGTCCTTGCTCGGGCCACAGGCTTTGCAGCCCGGCGTGGTGCATGCCGTATGCTGTTTCCTGCACTGCCGCGCGGCATGCCACGCTGTGCCGTGCCACGCACTCGTCCCCCCTTACCGCCTGCTGCCGCTCCGGGAAGCTCCTGTGACCCCCCAGGAATGTGCCCGGGTAATTATAGCCCAGACGGGACACGTGGCCACGGCTGGGAGCTGGGAGAGGCCGAGGCGGAGGGAGGTCCGAGGCCCTGGAGCCCCGGGACAGGGCGATGGGGACACCTGGGTGCCCTGAGGACAGGCAGTGGGGCGGTGGAAGCTGCCGGGTGTGTTTTCCCCTCTCAGGCAGTGGGAAGGCGCTGTAAACCCCGGGTTACCCTGGGCAGGTCCTGTTGGGGGTCTCTGGCCCATCAGCCCCCCCAGACCTTGCTCACCTCCAGAGCCCAGGGTGAAGCTGCTTCAAAAGCCCTTGGGTGGAGGGAAGCAAATCCCCCGCTCTCCCAGCCCCGTGGGGGGCGACCCCCCGCCCGTTGTGCCCCTGAACTGGAGCCCAGCCCCACTGAGCCCTGCGCCACAGAGCCAGGGGTCCCCCCGCCCCGGCGCCAGGAGCACATGGGGACTCCGGCCCCTCGGCCCAGCCCCAAGCGCCCCCAGCACCATCCTGTGCCCCCAGGACCTCCGCCTGCCCAGAGAGCCCACGGCAGGGATCAGCACAGCCTGCCATGGCTGTGACTGTGTGTCCCCTGTTGCTGTCCCCTCCTCTCCTGTCCTTGGGCCCCCCAACCTCCTTGTCTCTGGTTCCCTACCTCCTGTCCCCTCCCCTCGCACTCCCTGCATTCCCCTGCCCCACATCCCTGCTTCCCCTGCTGCCCACATTCCCCGCTCTATTCACTCCTATCCCGTCCCCAAACGCCGTCCCTCTACCCTCCCATTCCCGTGTCTCCGGTTGAATCGTGTGTCCCCAAAGACGACAATGTCACAGCCTTTCCAAGTCCATTTTCCAGCACTTATCTATGCCAACTGTGAGATTTTTTTCCCCTTCTCTCTAGTTAGAATTTCCCTTTCTGCAACTTGTGCTTGTTACTTCTCGGCCTTTACCGAGCACCTGAGCCCGCCTTTTCTGTAACCATCAAGTTGTGAAGAAGATGGTATTACATCAGCCCCGACCTTCTTTTCTCCAGGCTGAATGCTGCAGTTCATGTGCTGCATTCAATGCTGCAGTTCATGCATTCAACGCCCGCCTCCTCGGGCATCCCGCGCCTCAACCCTCCACCCCTCCTTGGTGGCTCTGCCGGACGCGCTTCAGCTTGCACACAGAAAATACAGCTGGACGCAGCCCCGAGCAACCTGCTCCAGCTCTGAGCAGGAAGATCTCCAGGGGTCCCTTCCAACCTCAGCTACTCCCCACTTCTAACCCTGAGGCTGTGGGCTCTAAACCTCCTTAAATGCTTATCAGAGAGGCCCCAGGCTCCCCAACACCATGTGGGCAATCGACACCTCCTTCCCCCACCCCAAATTCCTAATCCTCAACCTAGAGCCAAGCGCCTCTTCAGAAGTTTTGACTCCAAGCCCCTGCTGATGGTCTCGGTGCAGCGCAAGCCCAATCCTTGCCAAAAAATCCTGCAGGACCCACTCGAAACGACAAGAACAACCCCTGAAAGACCGGACCGCAGACGGTAACTGTACCCCTCAAGCGCACGCACTGCAGAGCCACGGCGGCAAAGTGACTTGTGCCTGAAAAAGAAATCTTGGCAGGAGCAGCAGATCGACGCTTCCTCTCCAACGGCTCCAGCTTTTTTGCGGCCCAGCCCCAACACCGTGAACAGCCGGACGATGTCAAAATTTTGTGAAAACAGCTGATTTGACAGTAACTTTATTACACAACGTCTTATTACATACAGCGTTCAAGAGACAGCTTGCAGGGCGGAAAGGCTACATTTACAGCTTGGGAGGTCCCGTCAGCCTCCAGCCCTCCTTGTTACCTATCTTCATTAGAGCCGCGGTAATTCCAAAGCCCAAACATGAGATGGTACCCGTCATGTAACTGTGAGCTGGAAGAAACAAACCAAACCACAAGAGATCTATTAGGGCACAAGTACTATACAGTAGATCTTGACAGACTCTGCAATTTTTCCGTGAGCTACTCACAGGCCCTTGACCATCAGTAACGTTGCTTGCCGAGAGAAATCAGAAAAGTGGTATTTTTTAAAATTAAGTTTTCACATGCTTTTAGCTTGTGGTTTGATGTATCAATTTCCGTAATCCACTCCCCCATCTCCTTACCTAAGCAATCTTAAATTGCTTATTTCAGTGACAAAAATAACAATCCCTGCTTCAAACTCTCATCAGCTCAGCAACTAGGAAAAGTAAAGATAAATTCTATTTCACCACAATTACAACTTAAATAAATCCCTCACATCTTTAACACTGAGTCTGAAAATGCCTAGAGCAAACAGGGCTGTATAAATATCTGCAGGAGCTAATCTAGCCCGACGAGATGCAACAGCAGCAAGATGCAGCTTGTCCCTCGGAGCGCATGAAGAACTCGCAGGGCAGATATTAGATTATATTTTCCGTGTAAAATAAATCACATTTGTTGCCAAGAAAACACGGATTTCCACAATTACATCTTTCATAGCCTGCAATTTCAAGTTATAATTGGTAGTTACAACTGGCAGTACTGGCTCGGCTCTCCCTCTGGTCTCCCTTTGCAGCAGGATTATTTTAGCAGACCTGTACAACGGAGCATCAACGGAACTGGCATGAGAGGGAATTCACGTGCTGAGATGAATCTTTACCAAATAAGCCTAACATCAACATTATTTTACATTTCTCCCTAATAGCAAGGTTTCTAAAAACAGAGAGGGCTCATCTCATTACGGGCACTATCCACATTTACCTCTTGCACCTAAGACGGCTCCCGTTGCACAGCCTCCTATGAAATAATTCAAGGGATCCTCTGGTTCCTCTCGGACTTGGGCACTGAGGCAGGTAGTTAAGCCAAACACAGCTCCTAGCGTAGCTGTAAACGAGGTAAAAAAACAAGACAAAACCCCTCAAGGAACAGAGAATTACATATGTACCAAGCACGTTTTTGAGACGCGGGGTGCTGCACAACAGCTCCTCTGGGAGAAAAGAGGAAAACGAAGCAAGATCTGCTTTGGATTCCCCAGGGGCATTGCATCCTAGCCGCTATGGCGAGACGCAGCATTGCACAAGCCCCTGCCGGTTCCTTCTGGTACCTCCTGCGTTCCAGCCACGCAGCCACCTCTGCGCCACGCAGGGCCCGGGCCCGCGGGTCCAGCTGCATCGCCAGGAGCCCCGCTGGGCGCCAGCGCACTCGGCAGGCGCGTTCGGATGGCTACAAACGCCACCGCATCCCGCGTGGTTATTACCTCAGACTTAGCAAGAGCCCCTCCAGATGTGGCAATGGGGCAGCCCCAAACAGCCAGGGGTACGGGAAGAGAAGCGGGTTTCTCTGCAGCGCATTCCCCTGGGGTGCAGGAGATAGCAGAGCTCTGTGCTGAAACTCAGCTCACGAGTCCCCGTGAATCCAGCCTCACAGGGCTTCGGGCAGAGAAACGCAGACAGCTCTGCTCTCCTTAAGGTCCGTTTGTCCTGGCCCTTTACTCCTCTGCCTGCCTGCGGCTTGCAAGGGTTTTGGGATAGTAGAAAAGCAAATTGAGTTTGTAAATTATTCTTTTTGTACACTGATTTTGATTTTGTAAATTCATTTCATATATTGAATTAAGAAATTGCAAAGCAGCGTTGTCCTGTCCACTGAATTACGTACCTCAGCCCATCAGACCCTACATCCCTGTAACTGAAAAGCTGGCAAATAGCTGTGTCGCGCAAATACACCAAAAGGTTTTCTTTGTTTGTAATACAGGTTCTTGATCATAAAATGTGAACTGGCTACCAGGCACCATCTGCAGATTTCAATTCATCTTTCTTGGGAACAACAAAAATGTCCGGGATAAGAATTTTCAATCTCTATGGTAAACCAGCAAAACCACAAGCTCATGTTACAAACCTCTGCAGTTTTTCAGCAGAAAATGCCATTATGCTGATCCTAAAATCAACTGAAAAGAGCACTGAAGAAACAAAACCCACAGACCAAGGACTGTATCTCAGCTTCCCCGCTTTGGACCAAGGAGTCTGTAGGTAAAACAACACAGCTTCTCGCCTTGTAACAGTGGGCAGGACAAGCCCTTCCTCCGGTGCGAGAACTGGTGAGAGGACTCAATATGCTGGTTTAGGATTATGGGATTTATCGAAATCATAAGTAGTTACATCACCCTGCCCATTATAATGACCTTTTATGGCTCAACTCCTTACAGGAGATTCCAGCTCCTGTTCCAGAGCTGAACAACTCAAAAACGCAGATCTGGACTGCTTGTGAACCAGCTTCCAGTCCAGAGCACCGGTGCACGGGGGAGACAGGGGTGACATAAGCCATTAAATTAGAGTGAAAACCAAGATGAGTTTGGTGAGAAGAAAACCGTGCGCTTGCCAGGGGGCTGGGGGAGCTCCAGCCCGGCGGATCTGCACCTGCATCTGGAATAGCCCCTCAGTCCCCTGCTTATCTCTTCAGCGACCGCCTTCTCTTGCAAAACACAGACAATTCAAGACAACTAAGTGGTTTCTTCTTGGCTATACCGCATGATGGGAAAAAAACACACGTACTTTCCTTTTGCTATCAAAACACTGCGTTTGCTCTTCAAGTGTGATTTATTAAGTGCAATGCCTAAATATATGAAGTAAATGAGTAAGATAAGTTTGCTTCCACTACACTTTTGTGCAGAACCTAGCTGTTTTGCAAACACTGAAAATATGTACCTTTTACTCTAGATTGCACAAAATGCATTACCTAGACTTTAAATAAAGACCATGGCTTTAAATAGAGAAGAACGTGGGAGGCAGGGACTGTCTCAGATGCATCTTCAGCCTGAGCTGACACGGCCGGTCTTCTGTCTCATGCACCAATCCAGCAGTTTCTTTTGCCATCACCCATATGATGCCTGGGATTACATTATCCGGCGGAAAATATTA